TTGCCTCCCTTCCCTGTTTTTGTCTTTTCTTCCTTTTTTTTTTTTTTCCCCCCAGTATCACATGTAAGGCACTAGGTGCCAGATCACTGAAAAACAGAGCAATGTGTTCTACAGACAGCAGTGTTTCAAATCATTTATTAAGTATGTGGTTTTGCAGAAATCTACCATTTGTTTCTGGAAGGACCTAACTGAGTAGTAGCAGAGAGCTGTGTTTAACTGTTTCAGAGGCTGGATGATGCGGTTTCTTAGTATCTGGTATTTTCAGAGAAGAAAAAAAAAGCTGCTCTTGGAGCTGTAACAGCCTTTTGATTTAGGTAAAAACAAAGTAAAACTTGGTTTTCTGTACAAAAAGACAGGTTACTTCCCAGCTGACATTGCTAGGTCCTGCATGTGGGATCCTGCTGCCTTCTGGTCGGCTCTTGCGGGAGCTCTGTGGAGGTGAGTGTTGAGACCTCATCCTGCTTCAATAAACCCGTGCTCCAGCGCGTGTGTGTGAAACCTGGCTCCCTTACAGTCAGTGGCAAAGTTCCCAATGATTTCAGTATGGCTAGGATTTCTCATTTCAGCAGAACTGTGAGTCGTCCCCCACCCTGTTCTCCCTTACCAGTGTCTGTCATGTCCCTTGTGCAGTCTTCAATGCAAGTTTGGTTTTTGAATGAGTCTTAGCTGCAGTGCCAACTTGATCTGTGTTTTTTTTTTTCTCCATGAAATGTGCTTTGCCTGAAAGAACACCCAGCACCATGTTATGTCTCCTGTTCTACACATCACCAACAATAAAGTCACTTCTCCCTGAAATCTCTCTTCTAAACCTGATTCAAACTGAGATAAAAGTGTTATTTTGCTTGTTCAGTAGGTAGCACTCTGTGTATAGACCATCTCCTTACTGCTTCTGCAAAATCAGTTGCTTCCTTCTTCAGTCCCCCAAAAGGTGATGGGTAGAGTAGGGTAATGGTAAAATAGGGTTAATATTCAGGAGCTGGTGGTGGCAAGAAAGACTGGTGTGTTAGCAACTCCTGAGGAAGCTGAGCTCAGGTCTCCATTGTCCTGCCTGTGACTCTGCACAAGTTACTCTGCATAGATGTGTCGAGATGCAAATAAATGTTTTGAAAAATATCAATACCGAAGTGTCTTTGTCAAAGGCAATTGAGATAACTCACCCTGTGTCAGTCAAACCAGAGTATTACTTCTAACCACAAAAGGAGTGCCATAAAGTCTTACAATTGTGTTGCCAGACTTACATAAGCGCTGTGATATCTGGTCCAAATGTGCGTACTTTATTTTAAAACTTGCAAGACTTCAAGTTACAGGCTCCTCTCACCTACCAGAAACCATCATATAAAACACATACACAGCAGCTGCTTATTGCCTCATCTGCTCCCAGTTTTGCAGGTTTGTTGGAAAGCCACATCTGTAAAGCTGAATAGGGCTGTAATGGAGAGGTAGGTCAGTGAGAATTGGTATTTTATTGTAATGTGAACTGCAAGTGAAATGTTCATTTCTTTTAGGAGGTTTTTATTTGCATCGTGGTTTATTTTTTGTAACGTGTGTATGTAGTTTTAGTGCTGGGTTTACAAAAGAAGGTGATTTAAGTTCTTTTTAGGAGTCCTACAAATGAAAGAAAGGAGATAGGGGAAACAGGTATTGCTGACAATGACAGCATAATTTGGACACCATGTCATTAGTGCCAAAGGTGAGTGATGTTACATATACAATTACATTCCTTATGTTTTTCGTTGGCTTTAAAAGGCTGTAGCTTGGGATGTAGTTTTGCATACCACCTCATTGCAATGGAAAAAGTGATGTGGCTCAAATAAATCACAAAACAATTCATTTGCAAAACCAACGTATTTGTATTTTTCTGCACTACTTTTGTTTCAGTCTGATAATGAGCCTTTCTTGTTACCATAATCAATATGGTGCAGGGTTCTGTCAGGTATTATGGGGAATAAGCTCTGATTTTTTGTGTTTTTTCCAATCTAAAACTTGAGCTGTGGTTGGGATGATAGTGTTTGTTCTTGCAGCAGCAGAGGATTAATGCAGCCGTTGAACTCCTGGAGAGAGCAACAGTTTCTACTTGTTAAAGATACTCTTCAGCTCCTGTTATCACCCAGTCTGTTGCGAACCAGGAGTAAATGTGATACTGGATATCCC